GGGTCAGGGTGCACACGTGCAAATTACAAACTTGACTCCTCAAAGTAAACTACACTTATCTTATCGGGAACATTGCAAAGCGATATCAACTGCACAAGGACGTAAAATATTACGCGCCAAATTGTTTTCCTGCTGAAAACCCAAGGCCAACTCGACAAGACCTTGATCTGCTTTGTAATACGGTGCCACATGATCGATGCAGGACGAACACGACAGTGACACAAGGCAAGTAGAATTGTGTGCAGAGACACAGCAATGCAAGTTCAGGGACATTAAACAGTTCTGTCAATCCGCACATGGACATTGTAATCGATATTTCATAGTCATCATAATAATGCACATGCGGTATCATTTTGGAGGTAGTTATATATCAAAGGTGTATTACTTTTATATTTGTAGGATAAGCCAGGGGTTTGACACACACAGAACTGAAAACACCATCGCTAAACCAGCGTGGATGAAAGTTCAGTTTGTCCGAGTACGTTATGAGCATTTCACTAAGAAATACGGACAAATGATTTATATCTGAATTACAGCCCTAATTTCTCGACAAACTACGACCAAATAAAAAGCTGCTTCATAATTACATTTATTCAAATCATTAAAATGTCTGAACTGTACATTGAATCTCATGGAACCGTCAAAAATGCTCGCTATAAGAGGCCCGTTTAGAAGCAATTATTGATACAGCACGTTTGTGCTAAAAGCTCAACACTTTTATCAACAACAGTGGCCTTAAAATGATAAGTATATAATCGGCAATGTTAAGGCCAATGTCGATTCTTTATAGCACATGGATCATCCTGTGAAGGGCCACTGCCCGAAAAGTAACAAAAGGCAAATCGAATTCTTAGGCTTCAGAGCAAATACCGAAGACTGTATAAATAAACTCTGTCACATTATTCTTATTCGTTTGAATCTTAAGGCGAGCGCGGTGGGGCTAGTGTTGCCACCTCTGAAACTGGGACACATAACGTGAAGAATATCTCGCAATACCGGAAGAGGGGCGGGCTACGTGTAAACGCATTGCCTGGAGAGGTTCATTACGCAACTGACAGCAAACCGGGACTTGTAATGATGCCCCAGGAAGACAACTTTCCTTGGACAGCAACCTCAAAAAGCGGACGTCTGGAAAACCAGGGCAAGTAGCAAACCATGGCGGTGCACGCTTTTGGGGACAAGAGTGAATGGGTGATGTGGAGATTTGTGAAACTCACAACCCCGCTAGACTGCGAGATGGCCAGACAGCAGTGACAGCAAGTAGGAGCGTGAACCGGTCCATCTGGATGTCTGATCTCCGGCCTGGTACGCACACTCTTTCCACATGAAACAAAATGTCCATTAATATGCAATGTTATCCGGGAAGGTATCAATGAGTTTTAATACCCATTGATATTTTCCAGGATAAAACGTATCGCGATTCAGGCGAAGCGCCCAAAACTTTAATTCGACTAAGACATGTAACATTCTCAGGAGTCAATAAAGAGTCCATGACTCTGAGCCTAACGAGAGATAGCAGGCTTTGCATGTGCTTGTTGTTATGGCTCAGTGGATGGGCCATGCCGCATGGAGCCAGGCCAAAGCTGGAGAGGAGATAATCCACTGCTACAGCCCTGGCAGTGCAGCTCACCACGCGGCGGGCTCGCCCTGCGCAGGCTCCCAGCTTCACGGCGCCCCGGGGAGCCGGCTCATGCCTCGCTGCGTGGCACGGGAGACGCTGCCTCCCCGTGCCTCTCCGTAGCTCGCAGCGCCGCTCTCAGCTCCAATGGGCGCGATGGGTCCCGCGGCTTCCAGCAGTGGACCCCGGTCGCCGTGGAAACGGATGGTACTGGGATCTCTACGGGGTCCGCGTCTCCTCGCTGTCGGTGCCAGCTCTCTCTCTCTATCTCTGTCCGGGTCTCTCTCCCTTCAGCGGGAATCTCCCGGGTGTTTGCGTTTAGCTGCACATGGCGAGTCCCGCTCTACCCATGCAGGCAGGCAGGGCGCTTCCCGTCTCCGCCTTTACCCCCCGCGCGCGTCTGTAGGCGCCGCGCTACCCGTCTTCAGGGAGGGCCTCCGTGTCTGTATCCCCGCCCGCCCGTCCGTCTCCAGTGGCCGCAGGCGACTGTGGGGACGCTCCCGAGTCCCCGACTCTCCGCGCCTTTCGTCTCCCCGCGTGGGGCGAGGTCGCGTCACGTGACTGCGATCTCCCTTGACCCGTGACCGCAAAGCCTACGGAGGCTGCGACGCGATTTGTTGGACGGACGGCTCACCTCGCCTATTACTGAATATGAAGTATGAATTAAGTTTTACATTTCACTGAAAACGTTTACCATAACAAATAACTTGCATATATATTCTAAGCACATTGTTCTAAAACATCTCATGTTAACTGCACTGGCGCGGCTGGTTTCTGCATTGCACTGTCTTACGCCGAGAATGTCAAGCAATGGGAGAGCGCTCAAGAGGTAATCGGCCATCGAGCAATACGAGAGCGTTCACAGTCACTCTCCTCTCCAGCGTTCGAGGCTTTCAGTGGAGCCACCGGTCAAACCTGGCTCATAGGGGGTTCGCGCATGCCCCTCTGCTGCCTCCACAGTCGGTAAACTCTCCCCTTTACCATCATCCCTGTGGTCAACTGCCTCCCTGCCCCTAAGTCCAGGCTCAAGCACTCTCCAATATAAACGTGCCCACTCTGTGCAGTATCTTCAGATTCGGTTGCATTGAGAAGATACGCAAACACAAATTGTCCTGCATTCCATCAAATATGGGATTTGGAGCCCTACTACAGTTAAAATATTTGCCCTCGTTTATTTGAGCACCAAATAATTTCACAGTTTTTAGTAATGCTCCGACACCTAAAAAATATATATTCCCAATAACATCAAAGTTGTCAGAAAGCACGCATGTAATTTGCATTTTAATCATGCTGTACAAGACAAGATAAATAATTACATTTTCAATCAGAACCTCCTCAGGCCTGGTATTATTACAATTATACACATTTTTTTAATGTATTGATATTCAGGAATTATATCATTTAAAACAGGATTTTAAAGCATTTAGAATGAGTCAATTGTAAACAGCTACAATGCATTTTTCATGTTTAAAAAAATCAAAATAAAAGGCAACAAAAACACTTTAAGCAGCTTAGTTTTTGCTCGAAAAATACATTTCAAATGCCCAGGTTAGAATGATCAGACATTAATTAATTACACGACCATATATTTTAAAATCAATAAATTATTTCAAAATATTAGTGCAAGGTACGCAGCAGTGGCAGGCACCATGATGGGGAGTGGGCTGGAAGAGAGGGCATGCAAGATGCGACGAGGAGTTATGAGTGGGGAGCTAGCTCAGGACAAAACAGCACGGATATCGTGTACGGATATCATTCACATACAACTTTTACAGTAAAGTGTATCCAGGATAATTTTTTGAAATAGTTTTACAATGATACCCTAACATCCCATTTTGGTAAAAACAAAAGTACAATTTCGATTTAAAGCTTTCGTGACTGCAAGGATTCATCTTCTTGGTTCTTTCGGTAAAGTCACGTAGAATGAGAATAAAACAATACTTGTGTTGTGGCCGAAACGTCGTGAGAAACGTCGTGAGAATTTTATTGTCTTATTTTGTTTTATTTTATTCTCATTCTTCGTGACTTTACCGAAAGAACCAAGAAAAAAACAAAAGTACAGTAGGTAATTTTGATTTAAAGCTTTCGTGACTGCAGCAATTCATATTCTCAGCTCTTTCGGTAAAGTCACGTTGAAGGGAAACAATACCGAAAGAGCTAAGATTATACAGTAGGTAATTTCACAATCTAAGCACAAAACAGCCAAACACATTATTAAACAAACAGCAATGTCTTAAATTTTCATTTAAAGCTTTCGTGACTGCAGGGATTCATATTCTTGGTTCTTTCGGTAAAGTCACGTAGAAGGGAAACAATACAATAATAAAAATATAAAACAATAAAATTCTCACGTTTCGACTGCAACACAAGCAATCATCATCAGGTGTGAAAACCACAAGAAAATTTGAAAAAAGTGGCGGTTTTTTAACGTTAGCACCACGGAAAGCGATTTGACAATTTGTTCAGATGGACGAGTCCGTCTATCTTCTTTGGTTCTTTCGTTAAAGTCACGTAGAATGAGAATAAAATAATAAAATAAAAATAAGACAATAAAATTATCACGACGTTTCGGCCACAACACAAGCGGCCTTCTTCAGGTGAAAGAACAGAACTGTCGGGACGACAGTGCGTCAATGAGTGCTGCTGAGATTCGTGGCGTCTTTTAAGCTCGGTGATAGGTGTGAATGACCTATAAAGCAGGATAATTTAGCATTGAATTAGCTAGGGATTAGCTTGTGTCTCCCCCTCCTCTTTTCCGAACATAGTCCATCTATGTTCGGAAAAGAGGAGGGGGGAGACGAAAAATAATGGATGCGGTCTGAAAGCCACCTTAAGCGTGATCAATCAATTAAGACCCGAAATGGTTTAGCAAATCCTTCCAATGATTGCGAAGCCAGAATCCATCTTCTCGGTTGAAACCATCTTCTCGGTTGAAACCAAACGACATGTCTCGGACCGCATTCGTGAACACAAAGCAGACCTGAAACATGGTAGGACCAGCACCTCGGCCGTGGCAGATCACTGTTATAATTCAGTAGGCTCACATGACATTGACTTCTCCAAGACAGAGGTTATTTGCAAGCCATCTGGCTACCATGAGAGATTCGTTCATGAGGCTATCCACATATACAAACACAGAGACAATTTCAACCGAGAAGATGGATTCTGGCTTCGCAATCATTGGAAGGATTTGCTCAACCATTTCGGGTCTTAATTGATTGATCACGCTTAAGGTGGGTTTCAGACCGCATCCATTATTTTTCATCTCCCCCCTCCTCTTTTGCGAACATAGATGGACTACATCTGAACAAACTGTCAAATCGCTATCCGTGGTGCTAACGTTAAAAAAACGCCACTTTTTTCAAATTTTCTTGTTGTGGTTTTCACACCTGATGATGATTGCTTGTGTTGCAGTCGAAACGTCGTGATAATTGTATTGTTTTATATTTTTATTATTTTATTGTTTCCCTTCTTCGTGACTTTACCGAAAGAACCAAGAATATATAGCAATGTCTTAATTGCACCTTAAAACACTAAACAGCACTGAGGTTTACATATTCAGCTCAGAACTACACGTTAAAAATAGCTGAGAAAGACAAAATGATTGATTAAGCACTTTACGTTGAAAACGTGGCTGTCAGACTTTCAGCAGTGATGTTGCACGGTGATGTCCAGGTATTCAGTACAGTGTGCGATGTGTATTCTCCCATTATCCAAATATATATTACTTAATTTTCCCTTTGGTGACTTAAGTGCTAAGCAAACATATATATTATTCAGAAGAACTTACTACCCTTAGGTAATTCGGCCTTACATATACACTTTTTTACGGAAAATTTATTGGCAGATCATTTTGAACATTTTCACTGACAAAATTCAAGTGATTAGTGCCCACAGGCCCTCTACCACTATTGCTGCTGCTGGTTTGTGTTCTCCGCATGCCTACACTGACATTACTCCACCACCGAACCCCCCCCACCACCACCCTCGTGCTCAGAGCAGCGCTCAGGGCGAGAGTCGCTGGTAGACCCAGCCACTGACAGCCTCGTGCGTGAGGACCCCGTCGGGCTGCATGTCCTCCTGTGCGCGCCGGAACACGATGCGGTCATGTACGCGGTTCGTCTGGCCCTGCCAGAACTCCAGCATGTCCGGGACCAGCAGGTACCCACCCCTGTATCCAGTCCCAATGTTCAGTGTAGAAAACAGAAGACTCGGGGTTATGTGCAGTCTCACAGACATCATCATTACTGAAACTATTACAGTCCATTGAAATTGAGCAACAGTTTGTAATCAAAGTGTGGTTTCCAGGGTTGGGCTGCACTGCTTACTACAGACAACTTCCGTAATTGAGTTAGGTACAGTGAGGGAAAAAAGTATTTGATTCCCTGCTGATTTTGTACGTTTGCCCACTGACAAAGAAATGATCAGTAGATCATTTTAATGGTAGGTTTATTTGAACAGTGAGAGACAGAATAACAACAACAAAAATCCAGAAAAACGCATGTCAAAAATGTTATAAATTGATTTGCATTTTAATGAGGGAAATAAGTATTTGACCCCCTCTCAATCAGAAAGATTTCTGGCTCCCAGGTGTCTTTTATACAGGTAACGAGCTGAGATTAGGAGCACACTCTTAAAGGGAGTGCTCCTAATCTCGGCTTGTTACCTGTATAAAATACACCTGTCCACAAAAGCAAGCAATCAATCAGTGAGATTCCAAACTCTCCACCATGACCAAGACCAAAGAGCTCTCCAAGGATGTCAGGGACAAGATTGTAGACCTACACAAGGCTGGAATGGGCTACAAGACCATTGCCAAGCAGCTTGGTGAGAAGGTGACAACAGTTGGTGCGATTATTCGCGAATGGAAGAAACACAAAAGAACGGTCAATCTCCCTCAGCCTGGGGCTCCATGCAAGATCTCACCTCGTGGAGTTGCAATGATGATGAGAACGGTGAGGAATCAGCCCAGAACTACACGGGAGGATCTTGTCAATGATCTTAAGGCAGCTGGGACCATAGTCACCAAGAAGATAATTGGTACCACACTACGCTGTGAAGGACTGAAATCCTGCAGCGCCCGCAAGGTCCCCCTGCTCAAGAAAGCACATATACATGCCCGTCTGAAGTTTGCCAATGAACATCTGAATGATTCAGAGGACAACTGGGTGAAAGTGTTGTGGTCAGATGAGACCAAAATTGAGCTCTTTGGCATCAACTCAACTCGCCGTGTTTGGAGGAGGAGGAATGCTGCCTATGACCCCAAGAACACCATCCCCACCGTCAAACATGGAGGTGGAAACATTATGCTTTGGGGGTTTTTCTGCTAAGGGGACAGGACAACTTCACCGCATAAAAGGGACGATGGACGGGACCATGTACCGTCAAATCTTGGGTGAGAACCTCCTTCCCTCAGCCAGGGCATTGAAAATGGGTCGTGGATGGGTATTCCAGCATGACAATGACCCAAAACACACGGCCAAGGCAACATTAGGAGTGGCTCAAGAAGAAGCACATTCTGGTCCTGGAGTGGCCTAGCCAGTCTCCAGACCTTAATCCCATTGAAAATCTGTGGAGGGAGCTGAAGGTTCGAGATGCCAAACGTCAGCCTCGAAACCTTAATGACTTGGAGAAGATCTGCAAAGAGGAGTGGGACAAAATCCCTCCTGAGATGTGTGCAAACCTGGTGGCCAACTACAAGAAACGTCTGACCTCTGTGATTGCCAACAAGGGGTTTGCCACCAAGTACTAAGTCATGTTTTGCAGAGGGGTCAAATACTTATTTCCCTCATTAAAATGCAAATCAATTCATAACATTTTTGACATGCGTTTTTCTGGATTTTTTTGTTGTTATTCTGTCTCTCACTGTTCAAATAAACATACCATTAAAATTATAGACTGATCATTTCTTTGTCAGTGGGCAAACGTACAAAATCAGCAGGGGATCAAATACTTTTTCCCATCACTGTATTCTCATGTCGTCTTCATTCTTGTACACTGTTTGCCTTGCAGCCTTTCGAAATCATCATATTTTGATTGATCAACGCCCATAGAACGCGGTCAGGAAGGTGCTATGTTTCACAGACAATTACAGTCAGCAGTAGTTTCAAATTAGAGAGCAATGCTGCTCTGTGCATTTACCAAAAAAGGTAAGTTTTGAGTACATTTTAAGTTTGGACTGAAATGGCGGAAGTCCTTTTTTTACCATTGTGATATTAATTACAGACTCAATGTCGGATAAGTGCTAAAGAAACGGGTTCCATTGTCCCACTCCGCACTCCGTTTTGCCCTCATTGCCCGCTACAGAACCTATCAATGTAAACGATAAACTATAATCAGATCCCATTGAATAGTACTTGGCCATCTTCATCCTCAGTGTTACAAAATAAGTCTGCTCACTAAATCTTATGGATCATTTAATCCCCCAGGTAAATTCCCGTATCCTAAGAATGTCCTCCCTGTTGCTGCTCAAAGTCCCTCCCCCCACCCCATGTGAGAACAAAATGACCTACGTGTGGCAGCTGCTGATCTCTGGATTAACCGAGAAAAAACTTTTTGGGATAAAAACCTTAACCATTCTTGTCCTACTTTAATCACTTTTGGACCTCAAATTTTATTTCAAGTTTATGTGTAATTGATCGCTCTGCTCTGCAGACTTTAAGTAATTTCTGTTATTCATGATTTATTTTTATGTGATGTGTTCTTTTAGCCTTTTATTTTTTGGGATAGTTGTACCATGCTGCTGCATGACCTTGCCATTCGGTACTTGACCATGTACAGTTTTTTTTGCAAGGTTTTGTTCACATTTTTTGCTGTAACCAGGCTTATATTGTGTAACCAGCATGGCTCACCAGAAAGATGGCTTAGGCAGCTTCTCCGCATCCTTGTACTGCTCCTCCAACTCTGCGTTCTTTTTCGTGAGGATCTGAGACATCCAATGAATACACAACTCATAAACGCTACACATAACACACGTGTATGTGTTCAATGTGCATTTGCACACGTGCCAGTATGAGCCATCACTGCTCTATGGATGTGCCATAAACTCTTCCCTCTTTTCCTTCCCCATTCAATCAGCCCCTTCACCTGTGCTGTCCACTCCAGAAATGTAGGATGAAATTATTCTTGCTTTCCCACAATGGATGCCAAGTTCAAATATTTAAATAAAATGCCCATTAATTATACGACCTTGCATTCCATACTAATAACTATAAATTGTCACTACCATGTGGAGCATTTTCAGATATGGTTACATTTAGATGCATTGAAATTCTAACTTTATCGTCCCGCATAGAGCACTGAAGTGTGAGGCTGTGAGCCATACTTCTCTGCTGGGGATGACGGAGCTTTGCTTGCTTATTGTGGCTCCGATCTGGCTGGACTTCGGCCGAGACTGGAAGTACTCCTCTGACTCGTGCTCTGAGAGGCGCTGCACGCGGCCTTCCACGCGCACCTCCACACACACGCACGAGCACACCGACACCAAGGGTTTGCGCCACACGCTGCCATGGCAAACACTTAAGATCAACATAGTGCACGATGGCGGAAATCTGGCCAGTACCAGGCACGGCCACCTTTGTCTCACCAGCATCGATGTTCACAAATCACTCCGGCTACTCGTAGGAGCATTAGTCAAAACTGAAGGAGGCTCAGGCCAGATTTAAACCGCTTCTAGGCATGGCCAGAAATGAACCTGAGTTGCCAGGATTGTGGAACAGTATGCCAATCACACCGCCGCTGAGGTGTTTACCATCCCAGAAATGTGTTGAATTGTTGAGTAAATCGGTAGCTGCCATATGTTTACGTATAAAAAAATAGGTGGATGATATCAACTAACTGTTTTATTTGTATTACACCATGTTTGCTCTGTCATTAAGGATCTGTGGTAAAATACGTTACTCCAAACCATTTAATTTCAAGACCACGATGTTGGAGTCATGTTGAAGTTTCTTATTTATTCCGAAAGTTTCCTTACAGTCTATGGGCCCTGCAGACAATGCTAAGATTTCCACACCCCCTCCAGCCATAGCAGCATGGCAGATAAAAAAGAGTTACATTGCTTATTAAGCTTTTTTAGGCAATGCAAATAGATACCTGTGAATACATACAAATAAACTGCCTTATCTTACAAATAAGATTCCCAGGAAGGAGTCATACTGTATTAGTAATCGTGGGCATTTGCTGTGGGTTGTGGTGTAATAAGATTCGTTCCTGTGCATGGGTAGGAGCTGTGTTTATACTGTTCCAGGTATCAGTTGGGATATACTATGAGCTGTTTATGTCTGATGGGTAGTGACACTAGTAACTGTGCATCGCGAAGGGCACTCACAGAGCGGTTGAGAGGCTCCCAGTAGAAGACCAGAGCAGCAAAGGGATTCGAATCCTGCAAGCAAAATGTAATGACTCGGTTATAGAGCGTTTAATTACTTTAGAAAATACAAACAAACTTCGCCGATCACGGCAATTATGTTCCTGAATAATGCTCGTTGGGCAAAACCGTGTTTGACAAATAATATACCTTTTGGGAAAAATAGGGTTGCGTTCCTCAGTCCAAAATCATCACCCCCCCCTCTCTTTGTTTAACTTATAATTCTACAAGATTTACTTTGTTTTTATACAAAGGATGCTGAGTAGCTCTCCATTTCTTGTGTAAATTATTTATATCTGTACATTTTTACGTGTCACATTATTACACAAAAACCCTAAACAAAAACATACATGGTAAATCATTTTCACAGTCGATTCATTCACGCCTTCCAATGGATGCAGCTCTCTCTTGGCACTACTTTTCAACACGGAGATGAGAATTTTGGCAGCGTCAAAGCGTGTATCGCTGCAACATCACCCCGTGTTTTGGAAAACGGATGTGATATGGTAAACCATGTATATCCTAAACATACATTTGATAAAAACCGAGTTGGGCAAGGTTTTTCTGTACAGTTTTTATTGTGACATAAATCAAATTACTTGGTGATGATGCATTGGCAGTGGTGCACAAGCACAACATACTAAATACATTCAATCCTAAGATAGTTTATTTGGAATCACCTGGGCTAAATTGACTGCAAACGGCACAGCAGTGACAGTAGGTACAGAAGCAACAAGTCAATTCAGGTATGCCCCAATGTGATATGCCTGCCAACAGGGGGATCACATTATAGCCAGCCCTGCTGCTTGTGTTGGCGGTACATATAATTCACCAAGTTTTGTGACTAGTCTTATTAGGGACTATAATTATGGTGCTGTGAGAACCTCATCTCAAGTAACTCACGCCATTTGAGATGTGATGTGGACCTACCAGATCACCAGCTTTACGACTCAAGTAGTTTGTGTACAGCTTGAAACCATCCTTTCCAAAGCCTTTCAGCAGCATCATGCGAGCAGATGGCTTCCCATCTCTGCTCCAAGCACACACAAGCACAGCATGAACAAACACGTCATGTTAATGTAAAAGTGCATTAAACGTCTCATTAATGAGCATGTGTAAGAAAAGGTATCAGGAATGATGTATTCAGCCATCATCCATGATTTATCTACTGCTGAATGAAGGCCTTCCTAAGTCATTGCCATCCCTCAGTTTCTTGCCCCTGCACAAGAACTGGTCTAAATGCTCCATCTTATGAACATTATTGCTCAACCTCCCTCCCACCTTGTAAAATAGGAATGCTCCATATCCACAAAAGAAGTTAAACATACATGCATACATACTGGTTTTGTGGACATGTCACTTATCCAGGCTGTACCAAGTAAAAGACGCATGCAAGGGGAAGGAAGGGTGTGAATAGGGTGCGCGCATGGACAAAGCAATATGCACACACACCGGACATGGGCACTTTGGGGGACCCACCTGGTGCTGGTAGCCACGCACACAGCATTGGCCTCTCCAATCTCCTTACACTTTGTGGCTGCCACGAACCAATCCTCAAACTGCTGGATGGGGTCCAAGGAGGACAGATGCGACTCCTCAAAAGTCTGCTTGACAACGTAACACAAAACTACAACTGAACACGAAGGCCAAACAAATCAAAATGTTGCATGTATCACTTCAACTAATTAGCATTATATTGCTAAATATGACCGTGAGAATTGGGTCTTTAACTTACCGGTAAGCTGAAACAATTATAAGGGGATAAACGTGTATACACGGAACAATGTAATTGAATTGTCTATCGGGTGGTGGAGGGTCTCACAAATAAATTTGGCCAGATCATTACGTGGCCTAACCCAAAAATCTATTACGAATTACACAACTATAACACAACACATGACACCACAACTACTCTATTAAATGATGCACTAATTCATAATTTACGGGTGCTGGACAGAAGCCTTGCTAGCATGAAATGCTAATCTATCTAGGAAGGATTCAGGTAATATTTTAGCATTGGGATGATTCGCCAATAGCAGTAGCATTGTGTTTTATCAGCATTAACACCTTACTAGAGACAGAGTTGAGCGAAAATACCCTTTTTTTGGTCGGTTTAAGTTAGCTCAGCAAACTAGATTCGAAGCTTTCGTGACTGCAGGAATTGACTCTTTGGTTCTTTCGGTAAAGCCACGTAGAAAGAAAGACAATAATAATAGAATACGACGTTTCGATTGCAACACAAGCAACCATCATCAGCAAGTGTAAGTGGTGCTTGTGGATTCGGAACTAGGATCACGTCAACCACACCGCTAAACAACCCAATCATCCTAATCTCACCAAAATAAATTAGCAATATCTGTTAACACATCTCCGTCTGTCCACGTTAACATGTTAAAGTGTATTTCCACCCAACTCATGTCGCACAGCCTTGTGGGAGTGCGTAATTTCAGCTCCAAGTGCGGTTCACACCTGAGCTGAGCACAGGGCGGACACCGCATCGCGATGTGGCACTGTCAGTCATCCAAGTTAACCATAGACCCTGGGTCCGCCCCGTGACCTCCTCCTGCCAGTAGCGAGAGCACTTCCACAATGGCTTCAAATTTGATCTAGCCTGGCACACTTGGGTGGCGTCACTCCCGTGTATGTGCGTGTGATGTGTGTATTGTGTGCCTTAAATCTGCAACACCCTTCGTTACAATGTGTGTACGCGTGGTGTGGGTGATGTGTACGAGACGTGTGCGAGGAGGTCCCACCTCCTCGTCGCCCCGGTAAGGTTTCCTCATCGCGGACACCCGCTCCCCCACGCTGTTCTGCTCTCCCACGGACATCCTCCACCTCCTCCCCGAGGCGCCGAGAGAGACACGGGGAGACAATGACCAGTGACCAACACAGCCGGCCTGCCACAGCCAGCCACGCGGGGCTATCGCTTCCACACTCAGGGCTCTCCCACTCAGGGCTCTCACACTCGAGGCTGCCCTCACGCTCAGGGCTCCCACACTCGGGGCTGCCCTCACGCTCAGGGCTCCCACACTCATGCACGCGGCCAGGCTGCACGTGGATATCAGCCGCTGTCACCTTCGACTCGGGTCACGCCGCGGGATCAATGGGCGTGACGTCATCGGCCAGTGAGGAACCGGCGTGCACGCCGGGGTCAGGGGTCACCGCTAACGGAAGTTACATCACTGCTCCTCTTGAGCCGCCGTCGCCATCTTACGTGGGATGTGAGAAGCGGAAGCGTTTATCGCGGGGCGCGGCGGGGGTCGGTCGCTCGCCTCTTGGTGAGCCCCAACGCGAGCCCCGTGTGCGTTCGCACGCCGGGCTGGACGCGCGAGGTCGCCCTCATCGTCAGTGGGGATAGGGAACGCGAGCCACTCCCCCCTCGTCCCCATAATCGTACACACACACTGCGGTCGCAGTGCTGCACAAATGTCACTGCACAAAATGGGATAAATATATGCTGTCTATACAGTACGTGTAATTGGCGACATCTGGGGCAATGCACTCATTCGTAACAGCAGATGGCGCGTAAGTGGAGTGACGTCATTGTGTCGATGAATGACGTCAACGAGTTGGTGAGGTTGAGACGAGTGACGTCAGGCGAGGACGCGTCGCCTTCCCCTGTGGCTATTGCTGCTGTTGTGAGGCTGCTGCTGCTGTTGTGTGGCTATTGCTGTTGTTGTGAGGCTGCTGCTGTTGTGTGGCTATTGCTGCTGTTGTGAGGCTATTGCTGCTGTTGTGAGGCTACTTCAGCTCCCGCTCCGCCGGAGTCTGCGCGTGCTGTGTAACTACAGCCACCAAACTGCGGCGCTGCCACCACCACCTCGGCGACCCGAGTTCAATTCCCGCCAACGGCCAACATCAGCGGTGAGTGATAATCTGAACCGATCCTGGGCTTCCCCTAGGTCGACTCCACCTTAAATGCATGTCTGGTGAGGTGTTTGTAATAAACATCAGTACTGAGGAAACAAAGGCGGTCGGGATTGGTCCTGGTCACGCTACCCCCTCATATGTGGCGCGCCGTCCCGGCTGCTACAACTCGTTAAGAGCACTTGCCCCAGCTGTCGGTGTTGTCTACACGGTGGGGCTTTGTCTTTGTACCACACTCGGGGTGTCCGCGATGTTCACTGCGATATAACAACAAAAAATCACCAAATAACGATCATCGCGATGTCGCGTAACTTTGTAGTTGCAGAACAGTGAGGCTTAGCCGAGAGCAATGCAGCTGCAGGTGGCGATGTCGCGACGACAATCCGTGCACATCGCTCGAAACGTGCAAGCTGCCAGGTGGTGATGATGAATAACTTTGCCGGTCATTGGTTTGGTCAACATCTTTAGGACCTTTTTGCCAGTATCCACTATGATGGAAAATAAGAATAGGTTTTACCCTTTCTTGGGTCTTTCGGTAAAGTCACGTAGAAGGCAAACAATAAAATAATAAAAAATATATAGCTTTAAATCAAAATTCACGCGGATAGGTTGAAAGAAATTAAAAAAAAACTACGAAGTTTCGATCACAACACATGCGATCGTCGTCAGGAGGAGAAAAGAGGAGAGCTGCTGAGGCAGACTGTTTTAAATGTTTAAAATTGGTATAGCCCAAGGGTCATAACGAAGTGGGCGGGGCTAGTGATGTTAATGTGAGACATTAGCATGTTAATGTGAGACAGCATGTTAATGTGAGAGATTAGCATGTTAATGTAACCTAAGCCCACTGGCTTGCAAGCCCACTGGCTATCAATAAAGATTCGTTCATGAAGCCATCCATATATATAGACACAGACACAATTTCAACCGAGAAGATGGGTACAAACTGAACAATCATTGGAAGGACGTTAGTAACCAATTTAAGTTATAACTGGCTGTGATGTCTCCATCCTACCTGCCGATGTTAGTAGTTATTTTCGACTCTCTGGTTTTACATTAACAGGTTAAATGTCTTTACATTAACAGGTTAAATGTCTCACTAACACAGCCACCGTTGCTCGTTTTCCTCAATGTGGCGGTGGCTCTGCGATCTTACATTGACATGCTAATCTCTCACAATACAATGGCCACCTCCGCGGCTTCGACGTCGTGGAGGTAGCTCTCCGATCTTACATTTACATGCAAATTTCTCATTTTAACATCACTAGCCCCGCCCACTTTGCTTATGACCCTTGGGCTACACACATTTGAAACCTTTAAAACATCCTGCCTCAGCAGCTTTCTTGCTATTTTTTCTTCTGATGACGATTGCTTGTGTTGCGATCGAAACGTCGTAGTTTTTGTAATTTTTTGTTATTTTATTTGAACCTATCTACGTGACTTTACCAAAAGACCCAAAAATATGAATTCCTGCAGTCACAAAAGCTTTAAGTCAAGGTGTTAACGTGTTCAAACTACAAATAGATACCTTTTGCTAGGCATCAAGTCTGCATTAACTACACATACTTGTGGCAGAACATGCAAACAAACATGCTCTGATTATAATATATGGGCATTGTCTTTTAAACTGATTGGCCTACACCAGAGACAGCCTTCTTTATGGCCTTGTCTCAGCAGTGTTAGACCAGATAACGCCACTGTTCGCCTTTTGGCGCTGCAGTTAACAACACACTCGCTCACCCACTCATCCTCTCACCACACTGCAGGTCGCAACACTTCCCTTTCTACTTCTTCCCTCGCACTGCTGCACTGTGGAATTCCCTCCCAATGTCTCAATTCTTATCTAATACAACTTTGAAAGTGCTATTTGTTGCTGGCCGTTTGACCTTTTTGAACTCGGGGCATGTGTGTGCTTTTATAAGGGAGGAAGTCATGGCGTGTAGGATCCCCGCCGAGCAGGCGCTGGCTGCCTGGCAGCAGCAGCACGTTGCCGCCACCTGCCCCTCCGGCGGCGCGGCCCGGCTTGCCGACGCACGCCGCGCGCACCTTCGCCTCCTCCACGTGGAGCTGGCGGCGGGGGCGCTAGCGGAGTCTGCGGCGGCGCGGCTCTTCGGCGAGCACGCCAACCGCTACGCCGCCGTCCTCGACGCACCCGACGACAGGAACGGGCTCAACAACTACGCGGAGAGCGCGCTGCAGCTGGCGGCGGGGCCAGCCGGCGAGAGCGACCGGTGGCGGTCGGCACTCAGCTCCGATGGCGTCTTTCAGCTGGAGTGCGTCAAGGCCTTCGTGAGCGCCAGCGACGGCACCCGTGACGGACGCGATACTAGCGGAGTGGAGAACTGCGTCGCGGGTTCCACGGGCGCGCCAGAACACCAGCGCCCCCGCGACCCGCCTACCAGCACACTAGCACCTACAGGGTTCTCGCCGTGCTCTACAGACACCAAGACATTCGTCGTGGGTGCCGTGTGCTCCGACTCGTGTAAGGAAGACGGAGCGTCTGTGGTGAATGCGGAGGCTCCCTCGTCCCTTTTGCCAGGGTTGTATAAACAGGCACCTAGGTTACCGGCGTTTCCATTTCATAACCCCACATTGTGGATTAATCAGGCGGCAGCTACGACCGCGACCAGCGCTGTGATGAAGCGCAAGGGCCTGTACGTGTTCAACGAAGACAATGGTGGAGCTCACCCCGGCGGATCGTCCACTTGCAATCCGGACAGCAGTCACGCGGAGAACGAGAGGATCAACGACTGTGATGCCAGTGGACCAATTTCAAGCAACAGCTTCAAGTCGGCCAGGCAGCAGCTGGCCATTGAGCAGCAGAAAAAGTACTGTAACCAAAATAGAGCGTGTGCACCTCAGGCGTCCGCGAAGAAATCTTTAGGAACCTCTAAGCCTAGAGGACCTTACGGGAAGTTTGTATCCCCGGTACTCAGGGAGGATGGAAGCGAGAGCACGGGGCAGTGCACGCGGGGACAAAACGGCGAGCCGTCACAAATAATTGACGAGCGCTTGAAAAACATCGACCCCAAGATGGTGGAGCTCATCAACAACGAGGTCATGGACCACGGGCCCCCTGTGAGCTGGGATGACATCGCGGGGCTGGAGTTTGCAAAGGCGACCATCAAAGAGATCGTGGTCTGGCCCATGCTGCGGCCAGACATTTTCACGGGGCTGCGGGGCCCACCGAAGGGCATCCTTCTGTTCGGGCCGCCGGGAACAGGCAAGACTCTGATCGGGAAGTGCATCGCCAGCCAGTCTGGTGCCACCTTTTTCAGCATCAGCGCCTCTTGCCTCACCTCTAAGTGGGTGGGCGAAGGCGAAAAGATGGTGCGTGCGCTGTTTGCCGTGGCGCGCTGCCGCCAGCCGGCCGTCATCTTTATCGACGAGATCGACTCGCTGTTGAGCCAGCGCGCGGACGGGGAGCACGACTCGTCTCGCCGCATCAAGACCGAGTTCCTGGTGCAGCTGGACGGCGCCACCACCGCGCGGGACGAGCGCGTGCTGCTTGTCGGCGCCACCAACCGGCCGCAGGAAATCGACGAGGCGGCGCGGCGCCGGCTCGCCAAGCGCCTTTACGTGCCCCTGCCGGACGCGGCGGCACGGCGCTGCCTGCTGGAGCGGCTGCTGGCGCCGCAGAGCTGGCAGCTGAGCGCGGAGGAGCTGGCGGCCGTGGTGGAGCGCAGCGAGGGCTTCTCGGGGGCTGACGTGACGCAGCTGTGCCGCGAAGCGGCGCTCGGGCCAATCCGCGCCGTGCCGGACATCACCACGGTGGATGCGCTGCAAGTGAGGCCCATCCTTATACAAGACTTTGCCCAGGCTCTGCAGGTGGTGAGGCCGTCCGTCTCGCCCCGTGACCTCGACTTGTACGTCGAGTGGAACCGCACCTTCGGCTGTGGCCAGTGAATGCTCGGAGCTACAGCTTTATGATGATGTACAATCTTCATGGCCTCTACAGCACAGGAGGGAAAACTGCATGATATACACTTCATAAAATGAATACAACTGGGAAAAGAAATAACAGTTTAATATTTTCAATTCGTGATTGTGTATAAAACAAGGCGCTCGTGAACTGGTTTTCACTTAACTGTGGACGATGTATGACTATTGTCAAATTATCAGTTCGAATCAGTGAATTACTTTAAATCTTTAAATTAACAAAACAGTTGACTTTTACCGCAGCTATCGTGCTATATTCTTGACTCTCCAATGTCAGTTCTGTAGTTGGCACACTCGACTCGCAATCAAAAGGTAAAAAAATTGAAATGCTGTTTAGAATGGATTTGGCTCAGTACTACCGAGGTTGGTAAAATAGCGACCACTTTGTTCAAAGCCAACCGTGTCATTCTATGGAGACTGTCTCCCAGAACAGGAATGTGGAATTTCCTCCACCACTGGCTAAATTCCGCTAACCGAGATGGGCATTGACTAACACCAGTTGAACAGGGAGACACTTTTGACCTGACGGTGGGATGGTTAGATGTTGAGTACCATCAAGGATGCCAAATGATTTAACAGTACATACCTTATTCTTGGTTCTTTCGGTAAAGTTACGTAGAAGGGAAACAATAAAAATATAAAACATTAAAATTCTCACGATGTTTCGACTGCAACACAAGCAATCACATTTCTTGCTGTGGTTTTCACACCTGATGAGTGCTTGTGTTGCAGTCGAAACGTCGTGAGAATTTTATTGTTTTATATTTTTATTGTTTCCCTTCTACGTGACTTTACCGAAAGAACCAAGAATATGAATCCCTGCAGTCACGAAAGCTTTAAATCAGTACATACCTTGCTAATGAGACTCATTTCGATAATGAGTCTCACCCAACATTGCCTTTTTAATAGACTCTTCAGATACATTCATATTTGTCAAAGCTGATATACTTATGTACGAAATATGTATTTCCTTGCAGAACATACAATCCTTATATATGGTGATTCTTCCAGAAATTTTACAATCAAAAACACTTTACAAAAGTGAATGTTTTTTGGGAATTTGTCATGCAGTACAGTATTATTCATTTGCAATTGGTGTATTGTGGATTTGGCCACATGGTCTTTTAAAGAGAGCATTCAGTTATAAAGAGCTCTTGACTTCTTGTTGCTCTGGCTACAACCTCCGCCTTGTGTAGCTAACTTTTTGTGTTTGATTACTTCTCCAATTGCTGCAATGTAAAGAGCAGTTTCCAGTTACTCTGGTACATGCTTTGAGATAAAACCTTCATCTTAGGAGAGCATCACTAAGATTGCACGATTCATTTTGAAGATGGTTTTGCATAAACGGGGCAGTAGTAGCTATGCATGCCTGTAATCCACCACTGTGGAGGGAAGGGTTCGTGGATCACACACAGTTGCTGTGAAACTCCTTTCCTGTGGCCGCCGAGGGCCATATCCTGGCTTGAAAGAAGGCGGTATAGCAACTGTGGACATATTTTCACCTGTTCTATCTGTATGGGATAGAACCTTGCTCCCACACGTCTGGATTGTCAGGGTGCTCGGATTTCGCATCACATGTATAAACACTCTTTAATTGGCTGAAAGCATCTTGATATATAGAGTACCACAGAGCTTTGGCAATTGTTGATACTAGCTCACCCTCTACCTGCCTTCCTGTTTGTGATTCCTCGCGCCACCGCGCATTACTCATTGTAGTGTTGTTGAGATGCAATTTGCTTAAACGGCATGTAAAACTAAAATGTATAACTCAAACTCCAAAGTTAGACGCCTACTTCTTGTACTGCCATCTTATTCAATTTCTCACACACCACCCTGCCTCCAAGTTCTGAACCCAATAATAGCAGCACTTTGACTACTAAACGACAGGGAAGTTATTTGCAAATTGTGTTTATGGAAAACCGAAAAGATGAATGCTTGGCAGTTGGAGCCTTCAGGAATCTGCCCACTCTGAACATGCAGCTCATCAAGAGACCAGTGCAGTGGGTGAATTATGCGTTGATCAGTTTCATTCAGACTGCACTGATACATATATTTATTTTTTGAACATGCATTTGTCTTGCTTTTATGCTTAATGACCTCGAGATATGTTTACATTGTTAGTCCATTATATGTGGCTTACAATATCCCCCACCATATATCAGTCATGTGTTGTTTTTTCGTATACGAGTGATTCTGCAGTACGGTGTTGATCCAATTGCCCCACGACTGGTTTGTTTGGTGATGCGGACGTTCCCCTCCCCATGTTTTATTTTCTATTCCCCTGCTTTACGTTTGTAAACAAAGATGTAAGTTTGAAAAATAAATAAAATTTAGAAAAGTGCTTAAGATTGGAACATTTTTGTGATAATTGTTTAAACTGAAATTTGTATTCATTCATATCCATTATAACCAGGTGAAAGTCTCAAACTAATGGGACAGATCATGGGACCTTCCTTGCCAGTGTCAAAATATAATAGGTTTTCCCCTTTTTTCTGGCAACAAAACAGGCGTTAACAAGTTAAAACACCAAACTGAAACCTTTTGAAAGGAATCATGTCTGCATTAACCACGGATACTTGTGGTGAAAATACAAAGAAAAAAACATGCTCTGACAGTATATGCATTGCATGTTTTTGTTTGTATTTTGTACAGAATTGCGATTATCAGAGAAAGTGTTGGGCTGTGGAAGAGTCGAGCATATTTAAGACTACGTGATGTTATTTGGATACCATATTCATGAGCCGTGATCTTTTGCACTGTGGATGAAGCCTTCCCATGCCATCACTATCATGGACTTGAAATCTCACATTCCGTTCAGCTCCTGAAAAAGAGCTTATCTCATCGCTCCATCTCCACGGTGGACATCCTCTTGGGAATGTTCTGTCCTTTGGCTACCACTGTTGTAGTTCTCGACCACTGGACATTGTCCCTTACGGCAGTCGCCTTTCCCCAAAAACTTTCTTTAGTGTCTAACTTGTATGTGGTCCGGTGTCTCAGCGTAATTACAAGCATGCACATCTCCATGTTCATACTCAAGTTTATTTAGATAAAATTTGCCCAAGCCCATGTTTGTGAGCCATGTTGTAGCAGGAAATATACACCGACTAAAATCCTTCCTTGGGCACATTGTTCTGCTTTTCACATAATAGTTTTCCAGAAGTGCTCCAACCTGCTCTCAACCACCTCTTGCATCATTTTCATCTTTGCCCACTTTCACTGGTTACCCAATGTACACACACTGATGTGTATTGCAGTTCCATCCCTCCAACAAATATATGAGATTGTTAAGTGAACTTCTTGCACGTGACTTAATTTGCTTATGCATGGTGTAATGGGCAAATTGTTAATTCTCCGCTATTGTATTAAATTTAGCAGACACAAATGACTTGGGCTCACTGCCCCGTAGTGTTTTACATGTGTAAGGTTGTCAGATATATATATTTTTAAATCGTATTTCTACTTGCCCCTTTTGTTGGCCAACCACATTACAAGCAGTGCCCTGAGAAGCAGTTGCATTCAGGTGCTTAAATGCAATTTCTATTCTTTAGGTCTTTCGGTAAAGTAAAGTAGATAGGTTCAAAGAAAATAATCCAAAACTACGGCGTTTCGATCGCAACACAAGCGGTCGTCATCAGGAAAAATTTTTTTTTAAGTTTTTGTTTTCCTGATGACGACCGCTTGTGTTGCGATCGAAACGTCGTAGTTTTGGGTTATTTTCTTTGAACCTATGTGACTTTACCGAAAGACCCAAAGAATATGAATTCCTGCAGTCACGAAAGCTTGAAGTTAAAAAATGCAATTATTATAACAGGAGTGAGAAAGCAATGATGAACGCAGGACAAATGTTGGCATTTTAAATAAGCATTCATTGCACACACAACAAGTGGGATTTGTTTTAATCTTGGCATGAAATATGCACATTATCAAACATCCGCAAATCACTATCATTAATCTGCATTCATTCAATGATCTTAAATTATTATTGCTATTTCACTGATCACGCACAATAAATAATAGGATAGGTAAAAATAAGGAGCTTTTTTTCATCACGAGCATTAAAACCAGAATTTTAATATTCGATATTCTCAGCTAGCCAACGAATTTGGCAAAAGTTATGTCACTGGTTTCCTTAAAATGTATTCTATTTAAATTAGTGTGCACAATTGTAATAGATGTCCGAACGTCACATGTCTGTGTTAACATCACGATTAGAGCTCAATGGAATCCAAGTTCCACTGTCTACAGTCACCATTCAAATAAGTGCCATTGCCAGCAGCACAAGCGTAGCTGCCACCTCGCAGGACGCACTCGTGCGGGGTGGCGCCATCACAAGTGTGCTTCACCAGCGCCCCACACAGCCGACTAACACAAATACGATTGTGTACTTAACTTGGGGGGAATCCTAGGGATCACGGTGGTGAGCAAAATTATGCACGACTCAGAATTCCCATTTTTTTATTCTAAGTGCATGGTCAGCCGACTTAATGGACCATGAGCATTCATACCTACTCATTGGTAGCATCAAAAAAGCGACCATAACTGAACAAACAATTGTGCTATCTATGGGAATTATGTGAACCTGACAACAGTGGGGAGTTCATGAGTGGAATAGAGGACAAGCATCTGAATAGGTGCTTCTCCAGGGAATGACTGGTGAATATAACGCAGGTCCGTCCATTTGTGCAGCTGTGTCGAACACTTGGTATACCAAAATTGTACACGACCTCTCTATGATGCATTGTTCGAACACTTTCACATGTTGGCCCAGATGGTAATTGAAGTAACAAAGCAAGGTTGGCAGGGGTCTTGCAAGGACACTTTCAACAATGATGAGTGTGGAGGGGCCACGAGTTTCTCCTCACTTCTGCACCCAACGCGTTCAGTCTGCAGTGTGTCTGTAGTCACCAGCGTTTCGCTCACTCCGCCTGGTTGCACGTGCCAGCTCCACTGAGCCACGGCCATGCGGCACGGGTCTTCGTGGGGGGAGGCCACCGACTCCACGCGGAGACCTCACTCGTTACTGTGCAGCGCCAGCGCCGACTCCAGCTCCCTCTGCTGGTTCAGCTTGCGGAAGAAGCTCTTCCCAAACTCATAAGTGCTGATCATGATAGCACACGCCGGTGCCACCTTGATAACGCGTGGCAAGAAGCCTGCAGGGGAAATGCCAACTCGATGCGTTCCCATAAAACAAACCTCAGCACTCTCCATCCAGTATCAGCAAGCACAATGGGAACGACGCAGGAAAACTCATGCCGGCATGAAAACAACACTAATACAATTACGACATTACCACGTAATAAACCACACATTCCTATAATTATTTCCATATAAGTGCAATATAAAGAGATCGAATGCATCCGAAAGGATGTGAACCTAGGGGATGGAGTGATGAAATAAAAAAATAACAATGCATGCTGAAGCACATGTGGAAAATACGCACAATGTACGTTCACTTGACTGGGTTTGGCAAAACACTTTTCTGGATTTTCAATAGCACTGAATGGGTATTGTGAAATAGTACCAGATGTTGAAATTCTGCTCCTTAAGAGTGGCCAGAGGATAATAATGAAAGCTAGAATATAAATTTTGACTATTGAATTTGCCAAGACATCTGACAATCTGGGACTTATCTAAGAAACTCAGATCTCGTTTTTTTATTCTCCACTTGGGCTCCT